AGCCAAAAAAAAAAAAAAAAAAGGTGAAGCAATGGGCAGAGAACTTGAATAGACATTTCCCCAGAGAAGCGTTGCAGGTGGCCAGCAAGCACCTGAAAAGATGCTCCACGTGCCTGCTCATTCGGGGACAAGTACGTTAAAACCCCGGTGACTCAGCACATCCCTTACGATGGCAAGAATGAAGAAATTGGAACCTCAGCGCTGCCGGTAGGAAGGTCCCCTGGTGCAGCCCCTGGGAAACAGTACGGTGGTGCCCTTGGAAATTAGCCACGGAATCACCCCTTGACCCAGTGATTTCCCTTCCCTTCCAGAAGAATTGAAAGCAGGAGCTTGAACAGATATTTTACACCAGTATTCAGAGCAGCGTTATTCACAAAACCAGAAGGGGGAAGTAACTCAAGTGTCCACGGACAGATGAACGGAGAAACAGAATGTGGTGTACACACACAGGAATATCAAGCAGTCTTAAAAAAATAAATTCTGGCACACGCTAACCCGTGGATGGGCCTCGAGGGTTTTATGCTACGTGCAATGAGGCAGCCACAAAGGACAGATACAGGAGGTGCTTAGGGCAGTTAATGTCCTGGAGACAGAAGCGAGGTGGCTGTCAGGGGCAGGGGGAGGGGCCAGGGGAGGGGATGGGGGTTGGGAGGGTCTGGGGGGGCCGAAGGAGGGGCTGGGGGGGTGGAGGCTTCAGTTGAGGAAGATGAGAATTCTGGGGCTGGTTCTGGATGGTGAGGGCTGCACAGCAGGGCGGATGTCCTTAATGCCCCTGTGCACTTGGAAGCAGTTGAGACACTCAGCTTTATGTAGATTTACCACAATAAAAAGTCCTGTGTAACGTGCTATCTCCCTTAGCTCTGATTTGGTGGATAGTCTTAGTCCCTTAGTGCAGTGACTTTGTTAAGAGTTCTTGTGTAGCGTGGCTCCAGACTCTTGAAGTTCCTTGACAATAACAAGGACAAAGTAAATCACCTCTGTTCAGCTAAGATGTTAGGAATTTGGGGGCACAGTTTTGATGAATAAACTGTGTAAGGAGGTTTTTCGGCAAAGGCTGATTTGAACTGTGTGAGGGGAACTACTTTTCTAAATTATCTTAAACAGTATTCGTGTGCTTAGCATCTGGCACATGCATATAGGTACTTTTATTAAATATACCTGACTATAGTAGTCAATTGATCGTAACCTTCTATTGCCATAAACAGAATTTTTTACTCTCTTTCAAAATGACTTTTGAATAAAACATAATTTTCCCCAGAATAATGAGCATATTCAGTCTTTGACATAAAACCTTACAAACATTTTTCACATGGGTGACCTTATTAACGTAGTTTGGGGAATTACCTTGGGCTTTTAAAAGGCATTTATAGGGGAGCCTATAAGTGTCATTAAGTGTCTGCCTTCGGCTCAGGTTATGGGTCCTGGGATCGAGCCCCGCATCGGGCTCCCTGCTCCGTGGGAAGCCTGCTTCTCCCTCTCCCACTCCCCCTGCTTGTGTTCCCTCTCTCGCTGTGTCTCTCTCTGTCAAATAAATAAATTAAATCTTTAAATAAATAAATAAAACAATAAATAAATAAAAGGCATTTATATTCCTAAGCTGAATAGGGTTTTGAGAGGTGTAGTGGAAGCTTTGGAAGATACAAAGATGCATCCCGTGTGAAGCCTGCCCTCAGGGAGCTTGCAGTATTAAAAAGTATATGGACACATTATTGATAATTAGCTTTTCTATAAATTGGAAAATGATAAAGGTCCCCAAAAGAGGTGGTAAGAGTTGGAGGACGACTGTCTGGGAAGGGGAGAGACTGAGCTTTTTCATTCGGGAGGAGCATCTGCAACCTGAGAAGACTTCCCAGAGGGGAGAAGCAAGCCAGGGGCTGACGGCCAGGCGGCAGGCAAGTGTGGGAAGGAGCTGGGGTGGGAGAGCGTGCGGTGCACAAACAGGACAAGCCGGGTGTCTGCGCAGCCGCCCTGGGTGCAGGGAGAGCTGAGCGCGGGCCGAGCAAGTGGAATCGCTTTAAGGAGATGAGACCTCAGCAGACGCTGGGGATGTGCCTCTGCCTCTTGGGTGCCCTGTGGGTAATTAGGTCCAGTGAAATCTCAGAGGAATATGTGGAGCAGTAAGTGAGGGGGAGCTGTGTGGGTTTATCAGAACGAAGCACCTGTACGCCAGCACAATCCGTTACTTTGATATGAGAGAGAGAATAATGAACAATGTTATATTCTGCTTTTATGTACTTTACACTGGCAGTAACATTTCCTCCTATTTAGCACAACCCTGCAAGGTTTATGTAGCATCGTGGGCATGAGCCGCAGCTGTGGGGATTTGAAATCCCAGGTCAGATTGATCTTCATCTGCACAGAGCTGGGCTGGTAGCTGGCCCTGGATCCCGGAAACAGGACTGGACTGGTCTGGTCTGGCAATGTCACCGTGTTGCTCTCGGTTCTCTGCTCCTGGTGAGGACACAGCCTCCCGGACAGGTGCTCCTGGAAGACCAGGAGCCCATATTTACCTCGTCCTCTATGCATAGGTGCAACCGTCAGTTTTGGATGGAAGCTCCGAGTCTTCTGCGGAAGCCTTGCAAACACTTACTTGATGAATGTTATTGCTGTGCGGGATCCAGATCTAAAAGCATTGCTGTCGCCTCAGCCTACCGGCTGAAGGCAGAACACCTGAGGCTATGATGGACCTCAGAGATGTACAGATAAATCCTCTTTTTCCTTCTGGAAGGTCCTGCTAATGGTTGCCTGCCCTCTGGCTGGGACAAAGTAAGTCGCTTCTCAGGGTTTCTCAAACACAGTTCATCAGTAGTGCAGAATGGCTCTTACTGGCCTTACAGGGTTATTGATCTTTGATTTCGCCGGTTTTAATCAACTGCAGGAATGCCATATAGAAAGGAAACCTTCATTCAATGCCAAACTTAATTTTTTTTTCCCGCCAGCTGTGCTGTGTGGCTAAATTTCCAACATGGCCAAATTTAAGATGTGGCCTGTTCTGTTCCCAGCTGCCATCCGAATCCCTTTGTGCCAATTTGCTTATTTAAATATCGAGATAGAGCGTCTTATCCAGCTGTTCGTGGCAAAAATAATGACTTCTAGTTAGGACCTTATTCAAGAAAAAACTGGTTAAGTCCCTGAGTGAGGTGATGCAGAAGTGACCTGGGCACGTTAAATCACGGGGCCTGTGTGCAGCAAGCAGTTGTCTGCAGGGAGGGACAGCAACACCGACGCAGGACCAGCGCGCGGGAGTGACGTGCATTGACCCAGGAGCGGGGTTCTGCAGAGCGGAGTGGGGAGCGCAACAAGACGGCCACGCTTTGTCACAAGGAGGCTTTCTGAACGAGACGACGGGAAAGGCTGCTCCCTGAGGAGCCGCAGTGGCAGGACAGCAAGCTGGGTCCACGGTAGATGAGCTGCATGGCAGGCACTAGAATGAGCTCCATGCACACTTAGGCTGACGGCGTATTTGTGAAATGCTAGGTGCCAGCGTAAAGGAAGGTTTTGATGAATGTGCATAAAACATTAACTGTGGTGATAAAAATAAAACAGATACTATGTTTTGCATCATGTCTTTGCATCAAGTGTGAGAGTGAATGCTATCAGCCATATTTAAAATTCATGCCGATTTTAGGGCACACGTGGAAACACAGGTAAATAGGCAAGGGGAACGAAGTGCTCGATGCGAGAAGAGTCATAAGCCATCCTGTAGAAAAGTCGTTCATCGTTAAGACGCACTCAGGGCTATCAGCAGCATATTTTAAAAATCACACTACGCATGGGGATTAAAGTGACCCGGCTTTGATAACTCTGCTCACTGCGCCCCCCACTCCTGAGGCCACATGGGAAGGCAGTGGGTGGAACAAGGGGAGCAGGTGTTCACGGAAACCTCCTCTGTGAGGGCAGCGCAGGGGGGCTGACAGCCAGGCGGGCTAACGTTCACGCCGGCGCGCCGTGCACTGGGCCTCACGCTGAGCTCTTACCACCTTCTCAGGTGGCCTTCCTCACGACACTAGGTTGCAGGTAGGAAAACTAAGGCCCAGAGAAGTTAATCCTGGCCAGGGACCAGAACAGAGTCCTGTGTGGTCCGCGCACCCCCACCCCCGCTGTCAGCCCGCCCTCGTGGGGGGCACACTGGTGAAGGCCACGTGGACGCACGAGGAAGCCCCTGCTGAGCCCGTGAAAATGGTGAGAAGCGAGGCAGTGTGTGCACTGTGATGGTTCACAGTGTGTAAAGGTGCACAGTAGAAGGCAATGTGCGAACCATCGGGATGGTTGTATTCTGGGGCAGTGCTCTAGATGACTGTCAGTAATGTATTTGGCTTCCACATACATTAAAGGAAAAGTACATGGTATTTACTAAAATCTATTTTCCCGCACACACCTAATTTTTGTTGCAATGTCTGTTCTTACTTAGAGCATGAGCCCTGTGGGCTGTGGCGGTTTGCGTCCCTCTTCGGTATTTCTGAGAGCCCGTGGCATCAATTGGATGGTTAATCCCTCCTGCTCTGTGTCCGTGCAGGTGGCGCTGGTGTTCCCCAACAATGACCCTGCTGCCTCGATGGTGGCCTTCTACGGCTGCCTACTGGCCGAAGTTGTCCCCGTGCCCATTGAAGTCCCGCTCACGAGAAAGGTAAAGAGCGTGTTGTTACATTCAGGCCTGTCACCCCGGGGGAGTGTCAGGCTCAGCTGCAGTGGAACGTTCTGTTTTGAGGTCAGAATGCGTGGGTGGCTGTTTTTTAAACGGCTTTTCATCTCAGCAGGATGTGGATCGAGAAGCACAGAGATGTTTTTGTTGTTTCTGAGGCTCTGTGCGGGTTTTCATCAGCTGTGTCAGTAGAGGGAACAGTCCCTGGCAAGCCCAGCTCGCGGCAGGATTTAGCCTGGGCAGCTTCTCGGAGGTGGAGCTTCTGGGCGATGGTGACAGAGCGCTGATGCGGGCCATGCAAGACGGTGGTGCAGGAAGATGCGGAGCTCACCTCTTCCCCCAGTCACTCCAAATCTACAGCTACATATGAAAAACTCCCTCTAAAAAAAGACCCAAGAGCTAGCTGATCAGCTCCTTCACGTAAAGTGAGGGAGGTAGGAGAGGCAGAGATGCTGTCTCACCAAACGCCCCACCCCTGCACTGTGACCCACACGTGGGAGGGATCTCACAAATTTGGAGCACTGTCCTGAAGTGAGGGGTTCATGCCAAAGTCAGACGTTCCAATCCCTGGAGGCTGCACCAGGGAGATGAGCCCCCAAAACACCTGCCTTTGGAAACATCGGGGCTTGTGTCCAGCACACACATGGAGCTCACACTCAACTCACTTGTCGCAGGGCCCTGTGCAGAAGGAGTGGTTTGAGAAGTGATCTCACTATGTATGAAGAAGATCCATTTGTTAATCTTAGAGCATATGCCAGAGGGACAGGGTTGGGACTGTGTCTGGGGACGGCACAGACCTGCACCGTTGTTTTCTCTGCTTCTCGCTTGATACTGCCCTAAAGCCTGTGGGTGAGCTGCAGCGCCAGCACCGTCCCGCGGCCTTGCCAAAGCTGGCAGGTGCACGCCTGGCTCTGGGGGCTTGCATACCTGGGCCCCCCCAGGACTGTATCACCTGGACAGAGAGTTCCTGACAAACGGCCACCCCAGGGCACTGCACAGACAGCACACTGACGCATGTGCCCAGTCTGTCTGTGATAAAGGGCTATTTACTTGTCCTGGGGCTGCAGCCTGAGGCGCCGTTTTCAGGTTTGCCACAGATTTGGAGACTACAGAGGGACTCTCAGGGAACACAGATAGGGGGACAACTTCGCACTCTCCCTTGACCTTGCTGCAGCTCATTGGCATCTCCCAGAAAGGAGCTACACATGCATTTGGAGCCCTGATTTTTGCAACTATAGCTTGGGAGACCCCTCCAGACGTCCTGGTCTGGAGGCCAGCAGGGTTTATGAGTGTGGTCCCACAGACCACATATATATTTGCATACATTAGAAGCTGCTGCCTGAGAGCCTGGCTTCCAGTCAGCCTGAAATTGGGTGCTCAACAGGATTCCTCCCTTTGGAACATGGACAGGTCTTGGCACAGCCTCAGCAATGGGAACATACCAGGAGTAAATCTGGCTGCTTAGACAATCAGAAAAGTTCAAGAGACATCCAAGGGCAAGGGTGCATGAGAAGATTCATCACTTGCACAGGCCATTCCTTCCAGACTGGGAGAGGTGGCTGCTGCACTTAATACAGAGAGTCAAACAAAACGAAGACACAGAGGACTTTGTTCCAGAAAAAAGAACAAGATAAAACCTTGATGAAATGGAGCTAAGTAATTTACCTGATAAGTAGTTCAAAGTCATGGTCATAAAGACACTCACTGAACTCCGGAGAACGGATGAACCCAGTGAGAACTTCAACAAGGAGATGGCAAACAGAAGGGAATACCAGACAGAAGTCACAGAACTTAAGAATAACATAACTGAACTGAAGAATGCCCTGGAAAGTTCCCATAGATGAAGCAGAAGAAAGCATCAGCTCTCAAGAAGACAGGACAGTATACCTCACACGAAGCAGCAAAAAGAAACAAAAACAATTTATTTTAAGTTAAGATAGCTTGAGGAACAACATCAAGTGGAACAGCGTTCACATTAGGGAGTCTCAGAAGGAGGGGAAAGAGAGAAAGGGGCAGAAAATGTAATTGAAGAAATAATAGCAGAAACATCCCTAACTTAGGGAAAGAGACAGATATCCGGGTCCAGGGAGCCTGGAGAGCTGACAGTAAGATGAATCCAAAAAATTCACAGCAAGACACATGATAATTAAAGTGTCAAACGTTAATGAGAGAATCATAAAAACAGCGGGGGAAAAACAGTTTGTTACATACAAGGAAACTACTAAGACTCTCAACAGATTTTTCAGCAGAAACCTTGCGGGCCAGAAGAGAGCAGCAGGATATATTCAAAGTCCTGAAAAGAAAACCTACAACCAAGGCTACTCTGCCCAGCAAGGCTGTCAATCAGAATTGAAGGAGGGATAGTTTTCCAGAGAAGCAAAACCTAAAGGAGTTCGTCACCACTAAACAGGCCCTATGAGAAATGTTAAGGAACTTCTTTAAGCTGAAGAGAGAGGGCATTGATTAGTAACAAGGAAATAAATGAGAGTATAAATCTTACTGGTAAAGGTCAATGTAAAGGTAATGGATTAATTACTTAATAAAACTAAAACTAGAATGAAGGTTAAAAAGACAAAAGTAGTAAAAATCATAAAAACCACAATACTTAGTTAAGGGATACACAAAGTAAAAAGATGTAAGTGTAATATCAAAACATTAAATATGGGGAGGGCAGGTAAACTCAGTTTTAGAGTATGTTCAAACATAAGTTGCTATCAAATTAAAATAGACTGAGATACACACACACACAATTAAATATATGCGTGCGTGTGTATATAGGCTGTTGTATGTGAACCTTATGGTGACCAAAAAGTGAACACCCCCAGTAGAGACACAAAATATAAAGGGAAAGGAGTCTAAGTGTAACAGTAAAGGAAGTCATCACATCACAAAGGACAAAGAGAGGAAGAAAGGAACAGAGAGGCCCTACTGAAAAAAGCCAGAAAACAATTAACAAAATGGCAGTAAGTATCTACTTATCAATACTTAATTCAAATGTAGAAGGACTAAATTCTCTAACCAAGAGACCAAGAGTGAGTCAATGGGAAAAAAAACAAGAGCAATCTATATGCTGCCTCCAAGAGGCTCACTTTAGATGTAAGGACACACAGAGGCTGAAAGTGAAGGGATGCAGAGAGATTCCGTGGAAGTGGAAATGAGAAGAAAGAGGAAGAGCTGTAGTTACATCAGACAAAATAGACTTTACAACAAAGACTGTTAATAAGAGACAAAGAAGGGGATTACATAATGATAAAGGGATCAGTCCACAAAGAAGACATAACATTTGTAAAAACATTTATGTACCCAGCATTGGAGCACCTAAATATATAAAGCAAATATTAATAGACCTAAAGAGAGAAATGCAATACAGCAGTAGTAGGGGACTTTGATACCCCACTTACACCAATGGACTTAATTTATGTAGAACATTCCATCCGTAAGCAACAGAATATGCATTCTTCTCAAGGGCATTTGGAATGTCCTCCGGGATAGATCACATGTGAGGCCACAAAGCAAGTCTCAGTAAATTTAAGAAGAGTGAAATCATATCAAGCATCTTTTCTGACCCACAGCAGTATGAAACTAGAAATCCATTACATGAAGAAAACTGGAAAATTCACAGATATGTGGAGATTAAACGACATGCTACTGAACAACCAGTGAGTCAATGAGGAAATCAAAGAAAAAGGAAAAAAACAGCTTGAGATCAATTTAAACAAAAACAGAACATATAAAATCTAAATTCAGCAGAAGTGGTTCTAAGAAGGAAGGTCATAGTAGTGATACAGGCCTATGTTAGTCCATGATAAAAATCTCTAATAATCTAATTTTAAACTTCAAGGAAAAAGAGCAAATGAAGCCCAGAGTTAGTAGAAGGAAGGAACAAAGATCATTGTGGGAATAAATGAAATAGATACTATAAAGAATATAGGGGGGAAAAATTAATGACACTAAGAAGTTGGTTCTTTCAAAAGATAAACAAGATTGATCCACCTGTAGCTGGACTCAGCCAGAAAACAAGAGAACAGGACTCAAATATAATCAGAAATGAAACAGAAGTTATAGCCGACACCACAGAAAGACAAAGGGTTATAAGAGACTACTATGAACAACTATATGCCAACAAATTGAACCCCAATCCCTATATACGTTCACTTTCCAAGGCCGAATCATGAAGAAGTAGAATATCTGAATACCAGTTAGTAGTGAGGAGATTGACTCTGATCAGAAACCTCCAGCAAACAGGAGTCCAGGACCAGATGTCTTCCCTGTGAATTCCACCAAACATTCAGACAGATTTAATACCTCCCCTTCTCCATCTCTTCCAAAACATTGAGAGGAAGGGAAGCTTCCAAACTCATCTTACAGGGCAGCATTACTCTGATACCAATACCAGACAAGAATGCCGTAAGTAAATAAAATTACAGGCCAATATCCCTGAGGAGCATAGATGCAAAAACCCTCAACAAAATATTAGCAAACAGAGTTCAATAATACATTAAAAGGATCATATTCCATTTTTTAGTGGAATATATTTCAGGAATGCATGGATGGGCCAACACTCACGAATCAGTCAATGTGATACACTACATCGACAAAATGAAGTTTAGTCATATGATCATAGATGCAGAAAAAGCATTGGCAACTTTCAAATTTTGTTTTTTTATGTTTTTATTTAAATTCCGGCTAGTTAACATGCAGTTATATTACTTTCAGGTGTACAATGTAGTGATTCAACAGTTCCATACAACACCTGGTGCTCATCACAGCAAGTGCGCTCCTTCATCCCCATCCCCTGTCTCACCTGTACCCCCAGCCCCCTCCACTCTGGTGACCATCAGTTTGTTCTCTAGAGTTGAAAGAGTCCATTTCTTGGTTTGCCTCTTACCCCCATTTGGTCATTTGTTTCTTAAATTCCACGTATGATTGAAATCAGATGGTATTTGTCTTTCTCTGACTTATTTTACTTAGCATAATACTCTCTA